CTGCCTGGGGGAGACAGCAGAGGATGAATTCCACATGTTAGAGGTCATGGCTGAGGAGAGGGATTTGTATGCCCCTCAGCCCCCCAAATCCCTGGGGATGCCTGGATGCTTTGGGGGTTCTGGGGGATGTTTTTGTTGCTTGGGGAAGACAGCACAGAATGAATTCTATATGGTGGAGATTATGGTGGATGAGGGGGATTCTCATGCCCCTTGGGCCCTCAAATCCCTGGGGGTCCTGAGCAAGGGGTCCCTGGAGGGGGACATTCTCTCTCCCTCAAGAACTGCCTTAGGGAGACAGCCTGGGATGAATTCCATGTGGTAGAGATCATGGTTGAGGAGGAAGATGCCCTTGCCCTGGTGCCCTTCAGCCCCCCAAATCCCTGGGGGTCCTGAGTGAAGGGTCCCTGGGGGGATGTTCTTCTCTCTCCCCCAAGATCTGCCTGGGGGAGACAGCAGAGGATGAGTTCCACGTGGTGGAGATGATGTCTGAGGAGGGAGATGCTCAAAGCGCAGTGCCCCTGGCCACACTGAAACCATCAGTGCTGCCCATGGTGAGTGCCTGGGGAGGGGGCTGCTGCCACCCTCCTGGGGGGGCTGCCAGGGCTGCTGCCACCCTCCTGTGTTGCAGACTGCGCTGGTAGGAATGGAGTTACCCCCCCCAGTCACCTTCCACCTCAGAACTGGTTCTGGGCCCATCTACATCAGTGGACAACACTACTCCAGTGAGTATTGGGGTCCCCCCACCCTGTGACCATCCCTTCACCCTCGGGGGTGGGGGCTCAGCCAGGCTGTTCCACAGTGATGAATGACCTGTCCTGGGAGGAGGAGGAGGCAGAGGAGGAGGAAGAGGAGCAAGAGGAAGAAGAGGAGATGGAGGAGGAGAATGCTGAAGAAGAGGAACCAGCAGAGGAGTCCCCCAAGAAGCCCCCAAAGGGCCAAAGTGGCCGGAAGGGCAGTGTTGCCAAGGTCAGCCCCCTTGGGTGGAGGTGTGGAGTCTGGAGGGGCCCCTGGGGAAGGGGGAAGGGTCCTCCCCTGGGGAGGAAGAGTCACAGGCTGTGGAGTGAGTCCCCATCCTACATTTTCTCTCTTCCCCCAGAAGAGAAAGCTGAACAAGGAGGATGAGCTGTGAGTATGCTGGAGGGAAGAGCCTGGAGCAGGGGATCCCCATGCTGCCAGCACCCCTTATCCCAGCTCTCCCCTCTTCTCCCAAGCAGGAGCAATGTCATCCCTGAGGATCCCCTTCCTGCCAAGGTAGGAACCAGTTGGGATGTGTCTCTGCATCCCCCACTTAACCCATGGGTTAACACATGGACCAAGAGCTCCTGGGGAGGGAATGTGATGGTTGTTATTGGATGCTGAACTCAGAAATGGAGGAGAAATGCAGGTCTGGGGGTCCCCACACTCAGCCCTGTCCCTTTCCCCACAGGGACGAGGAGCTCGCAGGGGCAGGAAAGCAGCACCAAAGAAATAATAGGAGCTATGGCAAAGCCTGGCCAGGTATCCCAGTGGGATGGGGTGTCCAGCTGGGAGGGGACCCATGGGTGCCCCCAGCTCATGGCTGAGAGGGGCTGGGGAGAATCCATCCCAAATTGGGTTTATCCTGGGATACTGATGTTAAGACCCTTTCTCCTTCCCTTCCAGGTGCAGAAGAGCCTGAAAGCAGCTGTTTGGTGGTGGTGTTCCTAAATAAAGGAGGATATTTTGCACTCCCTGTGTTGAGGGGGGCTGGGGGAGCATCTTCCATCCTGGTTAGGGCTGCCAGGAGCTCTGTGCCTGCTGCCCTGGCTCTGGCATCTTCCCTGGGGCTGGGGGGGGAGCTGAGGGCAGCCCCCCTAGCTGTGGGGTAACAAGTGTTGCCTGTGAATAGGAGACAAAGGGGGATTAGGGAGCAGCAGGGAGATGATTATAACCCATTGACCTGGCCTTGGTCTGCAGGCAGTGAGGATTTGTGGAGGGTCTGGAGCCCCTCAGCAGCACACGGGGGGCTGCTGTGTCCCAGATTGGATCTGGGCTGGGAGGGCTGA